CTGACACAAATAGATTTGCAAGAAAACGTTCCTCATACACTAAACTGAACTTTGGGTTCTAAACTACGTATCCGCAAGTAGATAGCATTAACATACCATATTTATCATAGCTTCAGGGTACTGCTCTAGAAGGCACTCCAACAGTTCAAAACAAATCTGCCAAAATATTCGTAAGAAGATAACGTAATAATTCAATTAAAAACATCCAATGTAGAACACAGAATGCCACTACCTTGCGATCATGCAGTGCCAAAGACTGCACTTGAACACTCTTAATCATTGCCTTTGCCATAGCTTCTGCATCAGTTGCAGTGACCAAACCAGCAACATCTTTCCTCTTAATCAGAGCCAAGCAACCAGTAAGTGCACCGCGCACCGATTTCCACTCTGCCTGATACAACATCAACATCGTTTTTTTATTTCTATTAATAAATTAGATTAAAAACGGATACAAGAAGTAGAAGTATCAAATCACCAGCTTCGCGGTAAAGAAACCAGCGAGACTTTGTACAACTGCAGTATCCAAAGGCTTTTCCTTTAGATGGTTCAGCATCTCAGCAAGCAGGAGAATACCTACAAAGATCAAAGAATTTGAGGTAAATGTTTCCGTTACATTTAAATAAAAAACAGTTCAAAAGAGAATAAAAAGTACCTCGTGCTCGGATAACATCATCAGTCGTGGTCAAATACATGTCCATCTCCACAACCTACACTTTCACAACAATACAGAACTCAACACCACATAGAGAGAGGATTACAGAATATGATAAAAAAAAAGAGTGTATATATGTTTTACCAATTGGTTTATAGACAAGACACCCTTCTCCAAGGAAGATGCAATAGCTTTCAGACTATCAGCCTACAAAAACATTACAGGACACACAACTCAAACCTCGTACTAATGTTTTGTACTAAATTCAAATTGATTTCCACTAATTTACAAAGTGAAGAGAGCATAGATAAGTGAAACATTGGCTTATGTCCAGAATATTATTACACAGGAAACACAAATCAAACCTCGTACTAATGTTTTGTGATAAATTCAAATCGATTTCCACTAATTTGCAAAGTGAACAGAGCATAACTAAGTGAAACATTGGCTTATGTCCAGAATATTATTACACAGGAAACACAACTCAAACCTCGTACTACTGTTTTGTCCTAAATTCAAATTGATTTCCTCTAATTTGCACAGTGAACAGAGCATAACTAAGTCGAACATTGGCTTATATCCAGAATATTATTACACAGATATAGCCCCTAAATTTGTGGGAAAATAAAATTATTAAAAAACCTTCACTATAAAAAAGCCTACAGTCTCCAAAATCTCAGGGCACAGTGAACAAGAGTAAGGCAGGAAACAAGAATCTCAAGAAGGGTATGAGGAGTAAGTACATGGTGGGAAGGGGAACGAGTAACGTCAACGAAAGATTCGAGATGCTCAGTGAGATTATTCAGTGCTGCCATCTTTCAAAAAAGACCTACAATGAAGTGAAGGGAGCAATGAAAAAACACTTGCGAATTTAATATATAGATTCTTACTAAGAAAGTGTATAAAATTTACCTTTAGATAGCGTCGATGTTGACTTAGGGAGAGAAAAATTGGAACAGAGTCACGGCGACGAGGGATGGGCAGTAGAGGAGAGTGAGAGAGAGAGACGAGAGCGGCGGCCTCTAATGGTCAAGGAGGAGGAAGAAAATAAAAAAGAAGTTGATTGTGGGTTTTTATATTTCAACTAGAGATGTATTGTTGGTTTGACACGTGGACTGTAGATTAAAATTTGCTGTATCAAAAATAGAGTTACTTTTCTGTATCAAAAATTCAAAAAAAAAAAAAAAACATAAAATTACTTTTAATGCACATCACCTAGGAGAAAAAACAATGTTCACATATTCGAATATTTGTTGAAAAGAAAAATAGAGTTAATTAGGTCAAAAACCAAAAATAAGATGGAAATTAGTATATTTTTACCCAAGTTAAATAAAATTTATATTTTTCTTGAATGCTAAAGACACATAGATTAATAAGTTTGGGCATGGAAAAAGTAAGAACCCTACATGTTCTTATCAGTGGGATTCTTATCGAAAAATAAGAACCCATCAATGTAGGTTTTATAGAATTTAACAAGAATGGTGTGGTTTCTAGTGGTTCTTGACTTCTCTACCTATGGATTTGGAGTCCGTTCTTCTTTTTCAGCTAAAAGCTTAAAAGGTCAACTCCAAGATATGTTGGATATTAGGTGCTAACTGGAGACAATCTGTAATACCTCGACCGCCCACGGCTAATGGGTCACCCACGTCCACTCTCTCGGCCCGTGGGCCTATCCCGTTCTAACGGTCGATTCGTTGATTTTTCAAGGTTCTAGAGTTATGTTACTGACCCTGCAATCACCACATGACATTTTTCCATGCTTTGGCCTCACTTACACGGTATCGCAAATCACTTCCCGATAGGTCACCCATCATTTGACTACTCCAGCTCAAACACGCTTAACTCTGGAGTTCTCTTTGAATGTGCTCCCGAAAAGTTAAGTGCACTTTGGTGACATAGATAGTCAAATAAATTCTTTTAAGCCTTTCCATATATCACAACTCGGGATGTTACACAATCACACTGGGCTAAGTGGAGTTTATGAATAATCTGCAAAAGAAAATTATTTTGGAAAATAGTCATATAAATTATTCTCTTATATGTGATCTTAGTTACAGTTTTCATATATATTGTTGCAGAAATTGCTACTTAGTACATGGTTTTGGCTTACATAGAACTTGTGGATTGAGACAAGATAAACAGCTTCTCTTAGCAAATCTTATGTAACATCTCTCCATGAGGATTGGTGAAAACTCTTGTCAGTCATGTTTTCTTACGCGTAGGACTAGAAAATCAAATCACTGGTCATTATAGTTTCATGTTGCGGGGTGTAAAACCCCATACATTTCCCTAGGTCGAAGTTCAAACTATTTTAAACTAACTCTGTTTTGTAGAGTAAATCCTCCCCAATAGAAACAAGTATAGAAACTCCAGTTAAGAAAAAATCATGTGCAGATTATGTAACTTACATGCATACTCAATTTTATTATTTCAGGTGTTTGATTTCTTACATAGATGATTACTGGGCATAATCAAAAGGTACAAAAGGCAAACTTAAATCCATACAAAAAAAAAAAATAAATGCATACCAGACCATCATAGTCATAGCTTCTTCTCATTTGCTATGTTGATTGCAGTGAAATCTTAGTTTCTCATTGCTATATAAGAATTTTTTTTACAAGAATGATGCAAAATTGCAAAAACTTGGGGGCCAAAGCGGCAAAAGAAAAACAGTTTTTTTTTTTTACAAAGAATCAAAGGAAAGTAACATACACTAGGGTGTACATTTTAGATAGTGTACGGGGTATATATATATTATATACACTCCGACCTTCTATTCGCCTGGTAGCTTCGTCACTGGGCTGCTACATGCTTTAGGACACTGTTTCCCCACCAACTTTGGAGATACATTGGAGCATTGGAACGTTGCTGGACCATCTTTTCCATTATATGTGATATCAATGTCACCTACCTCCACGTTCTTACACGGGAATCCCTTACTGCACAATAACTTAACTGCGTCTTTGTTCCCTGATGATCCTCTGATATTCTTGAACTTTATGTCCACCAGCTTGATAGTTGATGGTTTCTACAAAATAATTGAAAAAATGATAATCATTGGACTATATATGATCGTTTAATATTTTCTTGAAATGTATTTTTTTTTTTTTTTGTACTCACGTTCTTGTTGCAACGGTTCCATGGGCAGTACTCTTGGTCGATGAGGATAGGGTTGCTAACGTTTTGGAGAATAATATTCTCGAAACAGATACCAGATGCTGTCGTGGAGCAAGCAGCGGACGGCCATGTCTTGATTCTTACACCATTGTCAGTGTTCCTGAGTGTGCAGTTCACGACCATGATGCCAGAAACGTCTTCCTCGTGTCCGTATAATCCAAGACTTCCAATACTGATTCCATGTCCTGGACCACATGTAACTCTTTCGACATGAAGGTTTTTCATCCCGTCACCAACAGAGATACAATCATCTCCGGTTTTGATGTTTGTGTTGATGATCTTGATTCCATCACTCCTTCCCACGTGGATTCCATCGGTGTTGGGACTGTCTTGAGGGGCAATGATCCTGATGTCTTCGAACGTCAAGTTCTTTGCACCGATCACGTTAATGTGGAAGTTCTTGGCATCTAAAGAGGTTATGTCTCTCACCTTACCGTCAGTTATGTAATCAAACCTTATGCTCTGACAAAACATAAACAAATCAACACTATTTAGTTCCGTTATTATTATATTATAAATAGATAGATAAATAGATAGACAGACAAAACAAAACATACGATAGGGAGTCTCTTGCACTGAGTTAAAGAAGTCTTGTGGCAGTTATTAGCCCTCCATGAAGCGTTACCTTCACCATCAAAGACACCACCACCGTTCAATCTAAAATTAGTAATCCTGCGGAAAGCGACCCAAAAGTCTTTTCCGTTAACGTTCCCATCAGCTTTCACAGTGCCTTGAAGAGAAATCCTTATAGGAGACTTGCATGGACCCATCATCTCTATTTCTCCAAGCCTGAATTCACCTTTTGGGATCACAACGGTGCTCTTTTCCACGCACGCACATGCCTCCTTGAATAGTTTCGACAATTCCTGTATCCCAAAGAATCTTAAGTTTGCTTGGAGAAGAAGAAAGGTAATAGGTTAATGGGAAGATTAATTAAGTATTTAGAAACTTACGCCGGTGATATCAGAACCTGGCTTAGCAGTGATTCTGTATTCTCCAGCATTTGCTGATAAAGCTAACAAACAAAGAACAAAGAATGTGGATATTCCAAAATGTACACCCATTATTGAGTTTTTTTTCTACTCACTAGTGATTACAGTTTTATTTTGTTGTTTTTTTTTTGGTAAACCACTAAGTTTTATTTTTTTTTATTTGAGATTTTATTTTATTTATTGATGTTTTGTTCCTTGGTTTCGCTGTCATTATATAGTCTCTGAGAAGAGAGAGATTTGAACGTTGAGTTTGTTATCAACCGTTGCTTTCACCTCTTCTTACGGATATTTTTGGAAACTTTTTAGCATGAGTTTGACATAATCAAACACTAATAATACCATTGCTTAGCGAAAATAGATACTTTACTTTTAGAAACGAAGACCTTTTCTCTGGTCATTTTAAAAATAAGTACGTAATTTGCATGATGAGTATAATTAATTAATTATCATGTCTTAATTTTTGAGTTTAAGTAGACTCATATAGTAAATAAATTGTTAGTGTCCACATAAAATGCTTGAACTAGTATTTCAAGACATGTCCTGTAATGAAATGGTTTCTAAAAGTAGACATGAGATTCTTCTAATGTTTTTGAAGATTCAAACTGCATACAAGTAGACACACTTTGATTACGGTTACAATAGACTCTCTTCTCCGTGTCATTTCCATGCACATGAGGCTACCAAATCTCGTTGCATCCAACCAAGATACAAGGCTCCATCTCTTTCTTCCAGCCTATATTTGTCCGAATAGTTCCTGAGTAGACTTCTAATAGTGGAGTTCACAACGGGACTCAACGGGTAAGGAGTGAAACCAGCCATCTCAAACCGTGACCTCCATTTCCCTAGAAGCTCATGCCGCTCCACCCTATCAGCTCCTTCACATGCTATGATGTTCACTACATCTCTTGCTAGACAATGCTGCTCAACATTAATCCTTTGTTTGTGATTCCTTGGGAGAGTCACATCAATAGACTCGAACATGGCATCATAGTAGTCCATTGTCTCCTTGAACCTAGGGAAGAAAGCGGCCGTGTTTGTGTTTGATTCTTGCTCCACTAGGGTCACCACTTTGCAATTGGGAGATAAGCTCTTCACCATTCTCAGTAGCCGGTCCCTACAAAAACATATATATACTCATTCAAGGAAAGTAAATACACTATCAATTAGGGACATCGTCCCACGTCCCACATCGGAAGTTGAAATGGATCCTAAATAATATATATAAGGGAGCTGGCTAATTTATCGGAAGTCCATCTAACTTAACACACTTTATACTTTATGTTTCTAACAAATTTCAAGAAAGAAACTGTACCGGTGATTCTCGGTGCTCACGCTTTCATCAGGCATATGATGAAGCACAAAGGCAAAATTAACGGCTAGAGCTTCCCCTGGTCGGACTCCGAGGTTATTAGGTTTAACTTCAGACACTGACACTGGCACCGAGTTGAACTCAAACGGAACATTGAACTGCTTAGCAAGCTTGGCGAGTCTGTTCCCTACAATGCCTAAACCACCTCCACGAGCATAAGCTGAAGTCGTATCATCAATACCAGTTATCCGTATCCGCGGAGGCCCACCGGGCCTAGCTGCAAAAGCCTGGATAAGAGTAACCCATTGACTCCCTTGACCTATTTGGAAATCAATAATGTGAACTCTGTTTTCTTCCTTCATAGCTTCAGCAATGGCACCATTTGCTGACATGTAACCGAACTTGAAGTAAGGACACACCTCGTAGAGGATGTGCATGTAAGAGAGCAGCTCGGTGCTTGCCGGTTCAGGACACTTGTTTAGTGATTTATATATAGAACTACCCGATGAAGATAACTGAGCCACAAGGCCTTCTAGTAAATAAGCTCCTAAACGTTCTATAGGCTCACCAGAAACCGAGACCATAAGACGCAGCTTCTCCATCATCGAACGTGCCATCATAAGATCGTTTTCAGACATGGCTTTTGCACATGAAACAAGATCAGCTCTTAGGTCACGTCGAGAGACAGCTTCTAGAGTTGATCTCCAGCTATTAGTCTCTTGACACGACGTGGAATCAAAGGAGTCGTTGTAATCTAGGACCAAGTCCAAGGAGTCTGGCCCCATCATCACCGTTTCGAGTTCCTTTATCCTGTCGTTAAACTCATCCGTCACACAAGAGCCAGACGTATCCTCGTACGCAGAGTTGTTATTATTTGTTACTAAAACGGTAGCGTTTGAGAGAACATCGTAAGCTGGTGAGCCAGGTGATGATGACTCGGTCGTGCAGTACCGTTTAACCGGTACGTACCTACGCTTTGTAGGTAAAGAGTAAGGCTCTATCTCTTGTCTTGGATGCTTGTACATTTCTTGTCACGTGTATGATTCACACCTTAAATAATCTGCACCTACAAATACAAAAAAAAAAAAAAACAAACATGACTTATCTGAAACCATCTAAGAAACTTTTTTTTTTTCATCCAAGAAACTTAAATTGCATAATATATAGTTTTTGAAGCTCAGATCCACCTTGATACCTCTATTTGCAAGGAACCCTAATAAGGGAAACATATGTAATTTAACTCTATGCATCAAAACTACTAAACAAACAAAAAAAAATCAAAACTACTAAAGAGAGATCAAGAACTCAATAGATAAGAAAATACTATATATACCTCTTAGGTTAATTCAGTAACATACACTCTGAATCAAGAATTTTCTGACAGGATCAAGAAAGAGAGAGAGAAGGAGGGTTTTATAATTCAATAAAGATCATATTACAGTTAGAAAAAAACAGAGGAATTAAAGATCGAACAGAACTGCTCGTGTGAAGAAAGATCTAGTACCCACCTGACTTTTTTCTGAGATGAAAAACCTTAAAAAACTGGTGAATCTTGAAGAAGTACCATGTGAACCAGAGGCAAGAGCAAGAAGAGAGATAAAGTTGTCGGAGACAAGGCACATGGGAATGACTTTAAAACACACAAGTCACTCTTCTTATCATATAGAGAGAGAGAGAGAGAATAGAATCTGAATCAGGCGTGTTATTTACGATTATAACACTCAAACACGTCTCGACCACCACCACAACGTTTTATTTTATTAACCCCTCAATGATCCACAAGATGCATGTCCCCCATCCAATTTTTGTCTCAATCCATTTTTTTCAACTTTGAGAATTTCGAATATTATTTATAAGGAAAAAGGTGTGAAAGATATATTTAGTTTTAAGACAGTAATACATAGACAAACAAACAAAAATAAAATGAAAATTAGTTGGTTTTCAATAAGCAAGAAGACGAGAACATCATAGAAAATCAAAGTCAGAGTATGTTGACCGCGTGGAGAAAGAGGACAGTGTATAAAACACAGCTATGTTTGTGCTACCATGCTACACACCACTGTGCAAAACACATCTATGTTGATTTTGACTCGCTTTCATGCATATGTAAGAATTTTAAAGTTTTTGAATTATTTTCGTTTAAATTTGGATAGCATTTATGGCTATCAAAACCAATATATCTATAAAGAAAATACAAAAGAAAACTATAAAGTGGTCAAATATAAACAGCCCTGGCTGTATTAAATTTGGCGTACTATTCTAATTTCTAAGAAATTTTATAAACCAAACACTTCAACCTGAAAATTCATATATATATATATATATATATATGAAAATATTATCCGCAGATTTTGCAAATAAAAAAAACTATGGAGTTATTTAGTACATTTTCTTCAAGTTTTATTTAGTGCAATTAAGAATTAAAGATAAGTCAATTTTGTAAAGCACCAAGAAAGAACTGAAATAAGAAAATTTTCACAAGCTCCTTCTGCAAAAAAAAAAAGTTCAAAAAAAAATCACAACCACTAAGATAATTATAGAATATCAGCTTTTGTTAATCTTTACTCTTTTTTGTTAAGTGAATGTTGTGTCACTGAGAAGTGAGACCCCACAACACAACTCCCTCTTGCCGTTCTTTATTCTTTCCTTCTTTACATCCCTTCCACTATGCAAAGGGGTGGATATATCACTTTTTACAAAAAACATTGAGTACTGATTTCGTTTAGAAACTTGGAATTATATACATGAAATCTATCTTTTTGTCTTTTTCTAAACTTCATCCATGGAGTCATGAATATGTATGTTAATATGTACGTACATGACTTTTGAACTTAAAGAGAACCCAATGCTAGCTTACCTAGTTAACTTTATCAGCCAATAGAAGATCCAAAAAACGCAAGCTTATGTGATCATAATCTAGCTTAGTAAAATATTAGTATAATAAATTCAATCTCCACAGAGGAAATGATTATGCGTCCCACAATATTTAAGTTGCGGGTAAGAATATCTAAATTTCTGGGACCAAAAAATGTAAGTATTCAATATTTAACTTACTAGATAAGTGATAAAAGTATGATTCGATGAGTAAGCACTTTTATGTAAATTAAAATCATACGTGTTCCCTCAGTTCAAAACCCAAGATGATATATCCTAAACTTTTGGTTTCTTTGTTGCAGTACAAATAAAAATTAAAGTTCCTGACTCTGAGTATATAGGTGAACAAGCTCCAACATATGTGAACAAACACACACATAGACATTAGTTTTCAAAGTCAGGAAAGGAAAAAAAACAAGTATATAATATGTTGGGGAGAAACACTAATTTGGAATGAGCAAGGACTCGATAATCAACCTTTGCAACTTGTTAGAGACAAATCAATAAACAAAGGAATTTTTCTTCTTCGGTTTCTTATCAGAAACATAAGAGTTGTAGAAAAGACTTACAATAATATTCAAACATAATCAACTAATGAAGAAACCACATAATGAAAAATGAACTTAATATCAACAAAATGAGAACACAAATATAAGGCTACAAACACACGTTTTTACATAACAAAGTGATGAATTTTAGGAACATTTCCCTCAAGGATAGATTTAAGAACGTTCTTTAACTCCTCAAGCAACCCATCGGACAATCTGTGCATTCTCTCGGCGACAACTTCGACTCTTTCCCTAGCTATGTTCCGTACTGATACTTTAGTTGCTGACGTGGAGGTAACATATCAAACTAGTGATTAACACATCAAATAAAGAAAATTAAAAGCTTTACAATAAAACAAATAAACCTCAAAGTAATGTAATCTGAAACTGCATTAATCATAAACATACTTGTATATAGCTAACTCTTAATTTGACTTGTACCCAGAAAACCCCAAATTATATATCAAAATAAATATCAACTAGGTCAAGCTAAGATACTACATAATATTACATTTTAATACAAAATACAATAAAACCTCTATAAATTAATAATGTTGGAACTTTGTAATTTTATTGAGTTATAGATATATTAATTTACAGAAAATTTTCTTTTTAGATTTATTTATTTTAATGTATGTTTTATGTATAAATATGATAAATAATTGACTTTACGGTATATGCATTGATTAAATTTTATTGATACCAAATTTAATTATTTTTATTTGATTATTTGGTGCATACCGTAAATGTAAATGTATTTTAATTGTAAAATGTAAAATATTATCAAAATTTTTATAAATATCAAGAAAAATAAAGATAAATTTCACTATAGAAAAATCAAGAATAAAATATATTGATAATATTTATATAAAATTTATAAATGTTAATTATTAATTTATGTTTATATTGAGACCATATATTTACATAAAGTTTTTCAAAAACTTATTATTTAATTATTTTATCATTTGTGTCATATTTTAGACCGGCCCAAGTTGGAACCGATGAAAGTTATTAATTTATAGAAATTATTAATTTATCGAGTATTAATTTATAGAAATTTTACTGTAGCTAAATTTCAGATAAATAAAGCTTAGATAACCAACTCAATCGTCATTGAACTTCAACAAATCGATCATAGTTTCTCTTCGTTTTACTCAAGGAAACGGAGAGATGACAGAGCTATAGCCGAGGAGAGACGACGGGAGCTATAGCTGAAGGAAAGAGTGAGCAAAGACGCCGAATAATAATTTAGATTTTTAAGGGTAAATTTAAGAAAGATAAGAAGTTTGGGGGCTTTGACCGAAATTATTAAAAGTTCTAACTGCGCCTACGCACCTGCCGGTCTTTTTTTTTTACAGTGTAGAGGCAACCGATCCAGCCGGTAACCTTGCGTCGTGTTGACTTTTGACTCCAGTTTACGAATACGACTTTTCTTAGTAAAAAAAATAGTAAAAATTAAGCTCAAGTTTAGTGAGATGAGGGAGCATACAATTAGATGGGCCAATGTAGATGTGGTAATGTCAAAATCAAGGCATGCTGTTTTTGTGAATGGGCCTTCTTTAGTATATGCGATTAACAAAGAAAAGTGTATATGAAATTATTTGAGTGGTCCATCACCTATATGTTACTAGCTTTCAACGAATCTACGTTACAACAACAAGAGTACATACAAAGATATCCAATTTTCATTCCATTCCTAGCTTATCTTGTTTTCGATATACTTTTGACTTGAGACACTAATTTCTTGCTTTCATATGTCAAGCGTTGGACTATAGTATGCATACGTATATGTAAAATATCATCTGTTCAACTCTATATTGCTGACAACCAGTGCACTCATTCAATTTGTTGTTTCACGTTTCTGTACTACTCAAATCTTTTAATTCATATGATTTTTTTTCTTTCATAATTACATGTTTAAATTCGCTTGTAATCACCCAACTCTGCTTTAGTCATCCTTGGCCATGCAAACAGAATCATTCGAGTCAAACTCTCTCATCAAAAGGATAACACTCCATTTTGTATGGTCATTTCACTGTATAGCTTTGTCCATTCCATTACAACTAGACTGATGTCACTGTATGGTTGATAACGGTTTTTAACATACACATTATATTCCTGTTGGTTAATGAAAAATTCACATTCCACAACACAATCAACTCCAAATATTATCCCTATCAAGTACATGAGAAAATCCAAACAAAAGTAATCGTAGAAACTTTTATATAGTAATTTCGATTTTGTTAGACAGTATGGGAATTTAATTTTGTTAAAAAAAGGGTGTTGTAGCACCATTTTTTCTTCCATTATAATCTTTCTAAATAATTATTTGTAATATTTACGTTAACCAAAAACGTAAAATTGATGATGTGGGAGATTAGTCTTCGTTCACATTAAACCAAAAAGTGGAATTAATGAAGTGTGAGCCTAGATTTGTTTTCACAAAAAGAAAAAGCAGAAGAGACAAACACAGCTACACGTTGGCAGTATCTAGAGTGAAAAAAGATCCCACGTTTTCTTGTAATGAAATGATGAACTTGAAATTTCGTAATCGTAACAAATAAAAGTAAATAATAATATAGTAACGAATACAATCTTGTGAACTAATAGTTTATTAATGAAATCTTGTAATGAAATGACAGAGCTTGAAATTTTGTAATCGTAAAACAAATCGGAGTAGATAATAATATGATAAAGAATACAATCTTGTGAACTACTAATACTTTATTCATGCCCGTGTCCGGCCAACGGCGAATCAGACGACGTTGACGGGCTTCCTAAGGAACATGAGCGAAGAAGGCGGCGCGTCTCCAATCCACGCGCCGACGTGTAGGCGCTCGTAGTAGTGAACACAGTAAAGAGAGAGCGAGAGCTGAAGCTGGTCACGGCTCCAAATGATCTTAGGGACTCGTGCAAGAACTGGACGGATGCAAAGGAAGTAGAGACATCGGTAGCCACCAAGAGCCGACACAACTGAGCGAAGTGAAAGTGAAGGTCGTGGTGACACTTGTCGGAAACAAAGCTCTTCCCATATTGAGTCGTTGCGAGCCACGGCTGACCAAAGACGGCACACGCAAGCGGCTGAGCAGAGAGAAGGACCGTCTAGTCGCCTGAGGATTTCTACGAGCACGTCGTGGTGGTCGTTGATGGAGAACGTGGGAACAAGATTCACTCGTTGTCTCTTGTTGTTACTTTTCTCGACCATACCGATTCGTTTTTCCGACATGGTACTAGAAAGAAAGAAAGAGAGAGAGGTTTGTGTTTGAAAGAGAGAAGATTGATACAGCTGTTGAAATCACACGGAGGCATATAAATATATATATGTTGAGAATATTGTGTGTGTGAGTGAGAAGCAGAGGGGGAAGAGTGATGTTTATATTCAATCTGTAAAAGAATAAAAATTAATGTTGGTTGGGTGGTTCTTGTTGCTTTTAAAACCTTAGTCTATATATCATTACTTGTTGTCTTTTTGTTTTAAAAGCTACTGGTATAACATATAACTATTTGTTTCTTTTGCTTCACTAATCCTACATATCTTTTATCATAGCATATGGCCAATGAAATT